TGAGATAATTTGTATTTCTGGATTCAAATCAATGAAATAACAGTTCCTGTCCCCTGAAGGTCTTCAGAGACAGATTGATGTCGGAGGTCTAGTTCACTACATAAATAATATGTTATTTTGGATATATTTGCATTTAAACTTCTACTATTAAGGTGAATAATAGAGAGACCTCCTTTTGTTATATTGATGTCATTAAACTGTTCTTCATTGTAATATTCACAGTCTTTTATTGCAGGGAAAAAATTTGTATCAATCACATCTTCAACATTGTATATTTTAAACTTTAAGTCTTCGTATGTTGCCATGTTTTAATGTATTTGTTCATTTTATATTGTGTTAATTTCTTGTTTGTGAAGTTATGTCAATGATTTATCATCTGTCCTCTCCTGAGCTCATTTTAGTTTTTCCAGATCCTTCAGGTCTTATTATTTTAGCCTGAGATCCTTCCTGTATTTTGATCCAAATGTTTCCATTTCTTGTCCAAGCTGATGCTATTTTTTTCTGTTTTTTCAACCACCTTGCTTCACGTGCAAATTTCCATTTTTTTTTAGTTAGATGTTCGTTTATGTAAACATTTGTTCCCTTCAGTTTTATTGCTTGCATTATTACATTGTTTCTTGATTTCCTGCTAATGAACTTCATGACTATGGATGGTTTGGCTTTATCAGATTTGTTGGGCAGGGTGTGACAGATTGAAATGTCCTCATGTTCGATGTCAATGTCTTTGTTTTGTAAAAAATTCACTACTTGCTCTTCCAGAGTCTGTAGTTCTTCCTGTGGTGCGTCTTCTGTAGTGCTAGTACCAGCAACAACTCTTGCATAAGTTTGGTTCCTAACTTCCAGTCCAGTGATCACCAAGTTGTCTATTTTTGTGTATTGTTCCATGTCGTCTACTTTCTGTTCCAGTTCAGCTATTTTTCTGTCTTTATTAGTCATCAGTTCTTTCAATTGTCTCACTTCTTCAAACAGTCCTGTCAGTAATTCACATTTAGCTGACAATTTAGTCACATCAGCACTCAATTTAGTCAGTTCAGCACTCAAAAAGTTCAAAGATTTTTTAACTTCCTCCATATCTTCTGAATTATTTTTCGACACTTGTCTCGTTTGCTCGGCATTACTCACGATACTTCTGGATTATTGGTCTCAATTCTCAGACGCACAGGATCCAGCCACAAGGTTCACAGGCTTATGTTGTTAGCTTATGTTGTTAGCCGAGGCCTAGCATATTAAACAATTTAATTTACAATACAATTTTGTATTAAACAATATACATCATTTATTATCAGTCAGCTCAAAGTCCTACATGTTTTATTAATTTTGAAATTTGACTCATCTTTCATGTTCACATTTTCAGAAGTTGTTGATTTTTAAACCATTTTTGACATCACCCTGTCAGTAAAATATTATAATTTATCAAGTTTGTTCAGTGGTACAGTTTTATTATTTGTAAGCTTGAGTAAAATTATTAATTTTATTGGATGTGGGAAGGTTTTTTTTTCTGCATGAAAAACACATTTTATGTTGGCTTTACAATTCATTTTGTAGGGATAAATATCTTTTGCTGAAATAAATATTTGTTATATTCTTATACATTGTTAATTTTTGTTTACATACATCTACCCCCTTATCATACAAATCTGATTAAATTCACAGTTTTTATTTATTTAAGTCTTCATATTTGGTAGTTTTTTTTATTAACTAAACAATTCAAACTGTAGCATTTTCCTTCATTACATTAAAATGTTAGATGAATAATCCTACAAAAAAGATTTAAAAACCAACAAAGGCCACTTCACACCTACCAACACAATAATTATCTTAAATAAACACAAATCAATCTCAACCCAAAAAGCTGTAACAGAAGTCTCCTCTGTGTAAATGTATTAGTAGATGAGCATCAACATTTTCTATAAACTAGAGTCATTTAGAGGTTCACACAAACCCTGAAGTTCTGAAACTGACCCTGGCAAAAAGGAAGTACTTTTGAAATTCTGCTAAACTTTCTGGGTTGGACTTCCTGTTTCCATGTGTTTATTCTAACATGCAGTAAAACGTGCAGATCCCCACAGAACCATGACTGCAGTCATTCCAGCTGTAACTCACTGCCTGCTTTGTACGCTGCTGTCTTCAAGGTGCAGTGTCTCACATGTCACCTGATTCAACCCGCCCCGTACGCAAGACCTGAATGGAAATCCAGACAGTCTCATTCGGGCTGACATCGCATTTTAGGTTAGCGAGGAAAATAAAACTTCCAGGGTGCTGAGAGACAGGAGTTTTAACTCCCACCTTCGGGAGAACTTCGAACATGTTCCGGTGGAGGTGGGGGACATTGAGTCTGAGTGGACCATGTTCTGCGCCTCTATTGTCAAGACGGCTTACCAGAGCTGCGGCCACAAGGT